ACGTATTTGTTATGTACTGAGGCTACCACAATATTTGTTCACGCACATCATCACACACATTCAAACACACACAAATAGTAATAGGCCCCGGAGAAATATATATATATATATATATATATATATATATATACAGGGTTACCTGACCGAACGTTCGGGGGGCCCCGGGCTGGCTCCCGAACGTTCGGGCGTTCGGGGTCCCGTTCGGGGGCCGAACACCTCCAAGTTTGGCCCCCGCCAAAACAATTTTCGGGGCCTAAAAAAAAGTTTTGTTTTCTGAATTTTTTTTTGTGTGTTCTCTATAATGTAGCCTACATGCCTATAAATTTTGAAGCCATTCTGCCAAGCCAAAAAAACATTAAAAATCGTCAAAGATGGGGGTGTCAAAACGTGGTCGCCCACTCACTATTTTGTTTTTTTTCACTTTTAACCCTTTTTTTTTTTTCTTTTTTTTTTTTCAATAGCCCTTCGGCGGAGCGAAGGGCCGTGAAAATTTGTGACAAGCTGCTGAGTGTGCTCAGCCCACGGTATTCTTTAGTAAAAGGCGAAAGAATAGTACGCCTGTTCAACCTTTAGTTTTCACTTTATTTCGGGGCCTAAAAAATTTTATTATTTTTTGAAAACTTTTTAATGCGTTATTGATTATTTAAACTACATATCTGTAAATTTTCAAGTCATTTGCCAATGCCAAAAAATAATTAAAAATTGTCAAAGATGGCGGTGTCAAAAAGGTGCTGGCACACTCACTCATTTTAATTCTCTTTTTATTTTTTCTTATTTTTATCATAGTGTTTATTTTCTGTGTTTGATTTTTAATTCAAATTTGGTAAAGAATTTGGATGTAGTGCCCAGGAAAATGTAGTTTAGTTTATTTGTCTCCATAACATAGTTTGTTTTCGAAATTTTATGAAAGCTTTGTTTTTTTTTTTTTTTTTTTTTTTTTTGGTCCGCGTTCGGCCTGAACGGCCAAACACCTTCCGAAGGGGTCCCCTACGTTCGGGCGTTCGGCCCGTCCCGAACGCCGGAAACCCTATTTGACGATATATATATATATATATATATATTTTTCCATTCCTTGATTGTTTCCATGTTACAAAAAAAAAAAAAAAAAAAAAAAAAAACACGTAAAAATGAAGAATACAACGGACGACCAACCAAAAATCCCGCCAAAAAATAAAATAAAATAAAAAACTATTGTTCTATTTCTCTTCTCGACTAGGATACCAGAGTGGCCCGGGGTCATTTGCCCGGCCGGGCCAAGAACAATTAAAAAAATAAAAATAAAAAATAAAAATTTAAAATTTATTGTTTATTCTAGATTTGGTGCAGAATTTCGATGTGCCCCTGAGGCAAAAGTTGTTCAGTTTATCTTTCTGCATAACATAGTTTTTTTCCAGTTTTTTTTTTTTTTTTTTTTTTT